TCAATTAAGCATCTGACTTCAGCTCAGGTCATGATCTCACAGTTGCGTGAGTTCAAGCCCCGCATCGGTTTTGCACTGACAATGCAGAGCCTGCTTGAGATTCTCTCTCTCTTCCTCTCTCTCTCTGCCCCTCCCCTCTTTCTCTCTCTCAAAAATAAACTTTTAAAAATCTTATAAAAAAAAGGATGGAGAAAGATGTACCAGTTAATCACTAAACATTACTGTCAAAGAGTTCTTCAGACAAGGAATATTACCAGACATAAAGGGCAATTCCTACTGGTAAGAGGATCAATTCATGAAAAAGACTGCACAATTCTAAACCAAGCTTCAAAATACATTAAGCAGGGGTGCCTCGGTGGCTTAGCTGAGCATCTGACTCTTGATTTTGGCTCAGGTCATGAGATGGAGCCCTGCATCAGGCTCTGTGCTGGGCATTGAGCCTGCTTAAGATTCTCCCTTCTCTCTCTGCTCATTCTGTCTCTCTCTCTCAAAAATAATAAATAAGCAAAAAGTGATAGAACTGAAGAAATTGGCAAATCCCATAATTATAGTTGAAGATTTCAACAATCCTCTCTGAGTAATTGAAATAACAAGTGGACAGAAAATCAGTAGGAACATAGAAGTTTCAAAAAGCATTATCAGTGTGCCTGTGTGCTCATTCGGTTAAGCGTCTGACTTCGGCTCAGGTCATGCTCCCATGGTTTGTGGGTTTGAGCCCCGCATCGGGCTGTGTGCTGACGGCTCAGGCCTGGAGCCGGTTTCACATTTTGTGTGTCTCTCTCTGCCCCTCCCCCACTTGTGTGCGGTTCCTCTCTCTGTCAAATAAATAAATAAACATTTTTTAAAAAGCTTAAGCATTGTCAACCAGCTCTTAACGTAAATGATATTTAAAAACCAACAACCGGGGTGCCTGGGTGGCACAGTCGGTTAAGCGTCCGACTTCAGCCAGGTCACGATCTCGCAGTCCGGGAGTTCGAGCCCCGCGACGGGCTCTGGGCTGATGGCTCAGAGCCTGGAGCCTGTTTCCAATTCTGTGTCTTCCTCTCTCTGCCCGTCGCCCATTCATGCTCTGTCTCTCTCTGTCCCCAAAATAAATAAACGTTGAAAAAAAATTTTTTTTTTAAAACCAACAACCGTAGGGGCACCTGGGTGGCTGAGTCATTTGGGCATCAGACTTCGATTCAGGTCGTGATCTCATGGTTTGTGAGTTCGAGCCCCATGTCGGGCTCTGTGCTGACAGCTCAGAGCCTGGAGCCTGCTTTGAATTCTGTGCCTTCTTCTCTCTCTGCTCCTTCCCTGCTCATGTTCTCTCTCCCTCTGAAAAATAAAGACGAAAAACAAAAACAAAAAACAAAACCCCCAACAACTGTAGATTACACATTACATATGGAACATTCACCAAGTCAGACCATATACTGAGCCGTAAAAAAATTAGATTGCTCAACAGTGGGCTCTCCAATACTGGTATGCATCTCTTGAAAACCTGGAGGCATTCCTCATCCTGGCGTTCTTTTAGCCAAGAGAACATTTATCATTGGCAGCAGTGTTTTCCTAATTATATTGTATCAAATTCAATATTCAGAGACTATGTACTGAGAAACCAAATAATGGCTAAGAAATACTGATTTTCAAAAATTTTCCTTTAAATCTTACTCATTTAAACTTCAGAAAGAGGATCTGATTAGTTTTATTTAAGCTATTTCCAGTAGAAATTAAAAAACAAAAACAAAAAACAGGAGTGCTTGGGTGGCTCAGTTGGTTAAGCGTCCAACTTCGGCTCAGGTCATGATCTCACAGTTCATGAGTTTGAGCCCCACATAGGGCTCTCTGCTGTCAGCTCAGAGACTGCCTCAGATCCTCTGTCCCCCTCTCTCTTTACCCCTCCCTGCTCACTCTCTCTCTCTCTCGCCCTCTCTCTCAAAAATACATATTAAAAAAAATTTTTAATACAAAAATAACTTCTATTTGTTTGACATATTGGAAATATCAAGTATTACTTTCCAAGCTTATGAAATGAAAAATTGCTTTAAGATAAGTACTAAATGAAGAATGAAATAGACAAAATAATTTGTTTTTCAAATATTGATATAGGATTTCATGATGTGCTGAGCAATGAAAGAACTTCTGGTTATATGAGGGAGTACAACCAACTCAATGGTTGGTCTTCAGATGAAAATGAGTGGAATGAAAAACTGTATCCAGTGTGGAAAAGGGGAGACTCAAGGTGGAAAAACTCCTGGAAAGGTAAATCAGAAGATTCAAGGCAAACAACTATCATTTCCTATCTAAGTCAGTCTCATAGATTGTAGACTTGGAGATCCCATGGCTTGTGTTGCTTCCATGAACTACAGTACTCTAGTAAGCGGGAGGAACCTGGATTTAGCAATCTTTATCTGAACATGATCACTTTCTAAGTCACACACAAAAAAGTTTAATATCCTTAGAAACTGGTAAATTTGTAGTTCTTGGAAGATTTTGGAGAGCAAGCAGGTTTAGCCTCAAATCTATTTACCTAATATGGGAATGGTCCTCTTCAGAAGATCTGAGACTCTGGAGTAGTTTTGACCATCTCAAAAGTGTGGTTTATCAGAAAGTGAGTATCTTGCCATTTGCATGAAAGAATGAGTCCTTTTGAGTTTAAAAAATACAAACCTTTAAAACTTGTTTTTGTATAATCAAACAGGTTTTTTTTT